AATCTAATAACACTAAGTGAGTGGGTGTAAACCACAATTGTGCAGTTACTAAGTATAAATATCCCTGCTTGAATAAGTTTTGAATCTAATAAGCTTAAAAAGATATCATGATAAAACAAATAAGTTTTGCGTTCAGAATTTAAATGTGTCATGATTGTTTGACAAAATGGTTTGCTTCCGACCTTTGTATTGTAGAAATATATATTGGCTAAACGTTTTTGACTTGGCTCACCTTGTTAGAGAAGGATATTTATTATCAATGGATGTAGTATCCAGAATATTCCTTTTATAAAATATTCATGTGGATCTATAACAAGTCGGAAACAAATTATCAAGTTATTTCTTTTTATGAAACTGAACAGAGTTATGATGTTAATGTTTTCAGAACACTATGAACTAATTGTGTATTGTCGTTTTCCCTTTAGACAATCTCCATCTTACCGTGATGTTTTGAGTTTTCCAGATTGTCTGTTTATTTATCGTGTACATATAGGGACAGTAACCTTTTGTTATTTTGATAAATAATTTTCACCAGTTTGATTACTCAATATTCGTCTTATTAATCCTTAATCCATTCAAACCATTTTTTCGATTCACAGAAACCTATAAGCATTGAATATGACTAAACCACAGGAAATGAATTCATATTATTTCGCTTTAATTGTTTCTTTTGTTCTATTAAAGGTTTCATAGTAAACTAACTATTTGATATTTATAAACAATTCGATTTTCAATTAATTTATAGTTGAAAACGATAAAAGACCTAAATAATTTATGCAAATATCACAAAATGTGTAAAATCTAACTGAAGTACACTGACTTACAACGAAACGTGAATGAAATTAGATCGACCTAACAACGTCCATTCATGTTATTTGTAAAATGGGATTCCGATTGCATATTTTACATAATCTTGACTACAAACATGGTAAATTTAACAGGTAGATCTATGTCAACATACAATACGAGTCTTTCTGTGCACTTACTTATTGGTTAGTGAACATCATGTATCTAGATGACCTCTATGCGGACATATAGAGTGATCATTATGTTTAATATATGGGTATTCTTTTTCAACGAAAATCAAGAGACAACTAAAACAAGAAATAACAGGCTTCCATTTAGCTAGACAAAACTTTTGTCATGAGATTGTGATCACAGCACCAGGCTAGATTTTCGAATAATTTCACTTCAAACAATAAAGAACGTTTACAGACACAATTATGTATGTTGTTTTTTAGAGGGAGAGACCGAAGCTCCTGGGTTCGAATCCCGGATGTGGAGTTGTAAACGCACGCTGCTGAGGAGTCCCATACTTGGGAAGAGTGGCCCTCCAATGCTTCCAGGTTTGCAGTGATGTGCTGTCTAAGATCGTTTCGCGATCTGAACTATGAACATATTATTATCTTTTAATTCACATCTAATATTTGTGAAACTATTCAATTACATGTTAATGATAGGGTTTAAATAACTTTGCAGTGCACACAATGAACCATATAGATTAGTTCCTCAATATTAAAATTGATTTAAATAAGTTCAGCCAACATAGTATCAAATATGTTTTAGTAAAGATGGTATAAAAAGATAGGCTGTGCTTGATTTCTATTCTTCACAAGCACTAACCTTTTAGAAATTACTACTTCTTTCGCTTAATATATTGATTACATAACTCATGTACTTTATAATGACTCTTCTCCAACTTGTGTAATGTAAAACTCATTGAAGTAGAAATTTAATTATATTTATCATTGGTAATTAGTAATGTTTTTTACAACTATTAAGGCTTATTTAGATCAGGTGTTTTTTGCTTTAATTAACAATGATAATACATTTTGATTGATTTTCATTTTTAAGGAAAGCAAACATTAGCATGATGAACTTCACTGATTAGTTTATTATTCAGTCCTTGATTTGTCTACATAACAGTATACAGAAGATTAAGGCCTTGACACTATAGGCTGATTGACTCAACCTTGAGGCTAGAATCACGTGAGTTCAAAATGAGACTAACTGCCATGGTTAGAGAGACGAAAGCTATTCTACCACCTGATTGGCCGACAAGCGCGCGAGAGAGAAGACGAGTCAACTGGGACACTACTAAATTTATTCCTGATTTCAATTCACACTCCGATTCAGAACAATGTAAAAAGGTATTTCAATAATATAGATGACTAACATGAACACAATGCATCAACAATTAAGAAAATACAATGATGTCTAAAAGTGGGGATTAGGATAGAAAATAGACTACAAAAAATTATGTTTAAATTACAACAACTTTGGAACAAAAGAAGGATATAACAGTGAATAAAAGCTTATAGCTTGTAGAATAAACTAGAAACAAAAATTAATTATTATCAGAATGAGGCTTATATTAATATTAATAAATGTTTTCATGAATAGGACTGAAATAAACTTAGGTAAATAGATCAAAATCTTTTCATATTTTAATCGGGATTGGAAGAGTTTATTGATTTAGGAAACATGGAATGGATAATCGGTCATGTCTTTTTTTAAAAAATTCCATAGTAAATTTAACATATAAGTGTTTTGTAACTAATTACTATTTGAACAATGAAAAATTTTGTTCGCAACTGTTTTGTTGATTATCATATCTTAGACTTAAAATTTACGATATCTTACATTTCTATTAAATGCATAGAGAAAGTAAACTGTATAGGTGATCAGTGAAATATTCAAAATAAATTGTACGATATACTTGATTTATGATCTAGACGGTAACATTTGAAATGACTTGATCTAAAATAACTTATTGGAGATTAATCATGTTGTAACGCGCGTGACTGAGACTGCAGGGTTTGATAAGCAGCGTATTTATCGATCGGAGTACAATGGACACGGAAAACACGTACGAACGACCTAGTGCCCTGATTGGTCCCGCTCCGCTGTCTGTCCCAGCCAGTTGAGTCAAGAACGCAAGTCACAGCCTCTGAGTTATGAATCATTGTATTTCAAACATACTCTATTTATATACCAAGCAAACAACCCACGTCGTACCATAAAATAGGAAACAACATTTGTACAATATTTAACAAGTGAAATAACATCGACCAATAAGAAATGTACATTTAAGGTTCAAGGACACCATTGAACTTAACATGGTAATTATTGGTCTCTTTTTCCCGACTATCCCAACAAATCAGTTCAATATCATACTGATCATTATAAAATTCAATAATGTAGCTTCGTTCAGTGACGAAACATTCTGGAAAAAAACAAACTTTCAAATTTTTATTATGATTTAAGATAATGGATATTGAAAAAAATACTAAATGTAATGAAAAACGAACTCAAAAAAGAGAATATTTTTCAAATGATTAAAATCATCAAACAGAATGGATTTGTTTGATGTTCCATTTTTACTATGTTTTGTAAATATTATTGTCATTAGTTTTGAATTTATAACATATTATTTAAGTATATTTTTTTAGGTTATCAAATGATGGATCCTTTTTCAAGTTTGATCACATATCACTTGACGTAATAATATGAGATCTATTTAACTTCATAAGTATGATGTATAGATAATAATACTAGACAAGCTTAATTATTTCTGTCGTAATGTTCAAAATAAATTTATTATAGTTCATAGTTCGATTCCTAACCAGCAATTAATTTATAATCTAAATGCTAAACTTTAAATTTCTCTCTCTACCAGTTTTAAAATTTAAAAATTCAACTTATTCCAAGTTATTTACATCACGGTTACAATATTAATAAACTTGAACGTTTTAGTGAAATATTCATTTGTCTTTTTATCAAATGTTATTATTATTTTAATAGTTGAAATCATGAGTCGATTGAAGCTAAACCACTATCAAGAACCTGGAATCACGGGGACGGTCGTTTCGTCGTAGTACGGGACTCATCATTAGTGCGCATCCACGATCCCGCCCTCCGCGAGATTCGAATCCAGGACCTACCGGTCTCGCACATGAACGCTTAACATCTAGACCACTGAGCCGGCATCCAACTGTGTTAAATTCTAACTCCAACTAATCCACGAAATTGCGCGACACATGCACCATTGTTTTCAGTGAGCTGGTATCTCACAACAGACCTGATTGAACTCCACTGGTCACTGCTTCTCACTAGACCTCCAGCAAATACCTCTTGAAGTCAGTCACTAGTGAGCAGATGATTAATATCAGAAAGGGTTTTGTGGAGATTTCAATAATTTCAATAAGTGAATTCATGATCGGGGTCGTGGATGCGCACTGTTGAAGAGTCCCACAACAGGACGAAACGGCTGTCCAGTGCCTCCAGGTTTTCTATGGTGGTCTAGCTTCAATTAACTCATGATTTCAACTATTGAAATTACTAAAATCTCCACAAAACCTCTTCTGATATTATTATTATTGTTTGTTAGAATTTCTTCAATAGTCTTAAATAGGTTTATGTACTTTTGGTAATCATCCCGCGCTTAAATAGGTTTGTTTATTTTACATTTGAACTTATAAATAATGAATTGTATAATAACACTTGAAATATTTATTCTAAGTAACATATTCTAAAAAATAAATACAAATTTATTTACTTCAAATACAAATAATTCTAATAATATTTTAATGTCAACTCTATACGGAGCAATAAAAATTAACTGTACTATTTGTTGATAGATAGATATTCTTATCTAAAACAAACTATGATATAAGATGACATATCCGAGGTCAAATATTTCATGATTAAGATGAAGTTATTTTCACATCTCAAGGTATGATTAACTAAGATCCTATTGAGATTACTATACATTGATTATATAGAAGAATATTACTGAATTGTAAAATAGCTATGAATGGCTAATATTTTGTAATTATTAATGAGTTAAAGTTTTAAATTCTATGTGATGCATGTTTGGAAATATTTGACAGAATGATGTTTATATTCAGGTAATAAATTATAAAGAAAACAATCTCTTGTTTTATATTGAATATGAAAATCGATTCTCATAAATTACTAATTTTTGTGTATTTGAACAGATTGTCAACTTGTAATGTATGTTATATTTGTACCACTGAGATTCTAATCAAGACATTGTTTTGTTAATAATGATGTAATTTGGTCATTGTACGGTGATTTGAGCGGAATAATTTATACGACACATGACCCTGGACTCACATCTACTAAGCAGTTATATATACATAATGTTCGGCAGTGTTTTGGAAAATAGTCAATAATAATTTAATCTATAGACTAACCCGGATCTACCGTATCATTTTAATAAGCAAATTAAGCTTTCATGTAAGTGGATAAATTTAACTATTTTTAACTAAAATCCTCGTAAACATGTTCTTATAAATACAAAATATGAAAATTTGAAATTTCATAACGTTTTTCATTATATATACCATAGTGATTGTAGCTATTTATATTAGCTCTTAAAGTTTGATTGATATTAAAATTAATAACGTGAATGAATCGCTCATAAAGTCTTCTCATTAAAAAAACGAACATGAACTTTCCATCAGAAACTTGAATTAAAGTCAACTTTCCGTAAATCGATTATGAAAACATGATCTAGCGGATCATCGAAACAGAGGATATTGATACAAAATAATAGCTATCTCAGATGTATAGTGGTAAATACATTATACCATACAATAAATAAAGTTAGATGTCAGCAACTGTATAAATACTAGTGTAATCACTGCGGTAGTCAGTATGGTGAACAATTGTAAATAGCAAGTGACTGGTTACTACATCATTTATACACTGATTCTTCATATACGTTATCGAGGATCATGTTGAATGAACATTACATCTAGAAAATTTACTTCGAGTATACAAGAGCTTATTATTAATTTAGTCTTTAAGTATTACACTTTTCCAACAAAATAATATTTTAAAAAAACTTTCTTAAATCAATTAAAAAAGATGAATGGTTATAAGATTTAATGAACTAATTTGCTTATCTTTGAATATATGTATAACCGTTAAACTAATTCATTTTGTTTAAATTTCAGGAATATTAAAAAAACATTCGTATTTCAAGTTATGATAGGTATAACCTTCGACACTAAATATATTAAATATTCATTTAACTTACTAAACAGTATTTTTCCCTGATTTACCATATTTACCATGATTTACTATTTTACATTCATTCCTTGAAGACAGAAATCGATAAAATTATGACAAGAAGATAATTTTTACCATCCTATGCATACAAACCCAACAATAAAGAACGTGAACGGACATAAGCATATACTACTAATTCTGTTTTGTGGTAAATGCTACGAGGAAATATTGATTGGGGAAAAGATTGATCAGATAGAAGGAAATTCTTTAAGAAAGCATTTAACCTTAAATATATTAAAATGTAGTTAAAATAATAAAACAGGTATTTTTTTACCTTTAAATAAAAATAAATGTTGCGCAACAAAAGACCTTGAGTTTTCCTGAAATATGATCAAACCAACGTAATAATTGCCTATGACTGTTGTTTGCATTTGATAATTTTCGCTAACAATGCATACAAGAATTGAAATAATCGTTTAGTTAGTGGTGTCTATCTAAATTTCCGACACTCCATCTATCCTCCTTTGTCTTTGACCGGTCTCTCTAGTTTACTATATTTTCCTGCCAGTGTCTTCATTGTATCGTAAAGCTGTTTCATATTTCCTTCTCTTGCAGCTTTTTCCGCCGTCGTTGCTAGTTCTCCCCCATATTTCTTCTTGCCAGCTCTAATGCTCTAATGCTTCACTTCATTTAGTTGGATAAATTAATAAAAATTGTGCCAAAATATCTGGCTAAAGTACTTGATTGTTCCCTAAGCTGCTAGATGAGTTCAATCGTATCAACAGTTCATGCTAAGAGGTTATGTGAAAGCTAGGATGAGCGTAGTTATTTGATTTTTTATATGCACTGATATTATTCAACCAATTGACTTGCTAAAAGTAAAATTGTAATGAGAAAATTAAGTTCACTATATGTCAGCATTTTCTTTAATGAAACTAATAATCCATAACATTTTGTTAGAGGTTACGGCGAAAATACGCATACTTCCTTCTACACTCTATAATCGCCTGCGAACTAGACGAATAACGCGGTTAACATTGCCATGAATGATAACAAAAACAGACTATTAGCTTAGTAGACTAAGCTTATAATAAGTCTAATGAGCGCTCTGCTAAGTGATATGAGATACAATCGTGAGTAGAGCAACAGAGTCCTTCATGGAGGACAGCTCATAGATTCATTTCAAGTGACGAACGGTGTCACACATTGGTGCTAATTATCTCCCTTTCTATTTCTCTAGGTGGTCAATTGGACTATGAAAACCTCCACATATCAGGGGAAGCACGGCATACAATGAACAGTTTGGATACAACTAGACTATTTGCACTTCACAGATCACTTAGCTTTTCTATCCCATATATAACAAACAAATGCAGCCGAAGACAGCCAGTTTATCAGCAGCCTCTGCAGTGGTAGGTTTGAACTACAACATGGAGAACACCAACTGAATCACACTTGATGAAGAAGCTCTGGAACAGGTGGAGAAGTTTACGTACTTGGGCAGCGGCATCATCGATGAACGTGGAGGATCGGATGCGGACGTAAAGACAAGGATCGGTAAAGCAAGGGCAACATTCTTACAGTTGAAGAATATATGGAACTCTAGGGACTTTAGGCGAAAATAAGTATCGATAAACGTAACTCAATTATAAAATAGTATTTGAAAGTTTAGTGAACGAAATGTGAACCTTTGTTGGTAAATACATAATGAATTAAATTTGCATTGACTATTTTGTTATATATACTGAAAATACCTACACCGTTTTAAATAAACGAAAATAAACTGAATCTTCAATACAATTTTTGTAAAGATGTTGTCACTATCGATTTACATAGACATACAAGGTAACTAAAAGTTACACATTGTGTCAACTTTATACTTCAAGTTGTCAGCTAAATTATACTCATTGTAAAACAAGTTCTTTCTCACTATAGAAATTACATCCAAATAACGAGTTCTAGTTCTACTGAAAAGAGTTAAATGGTACTAAAACTGGTTATTCTGTCCTTTGATTAGAAATATTTTGTCCATATAGTCAGAAACAAATATCATATATATATGTTTCCAGGAAAATATTAAAAAGCCGCATTTGACTGAGAGCATTGCTTCATAGATTTCGTGAGATGTAATCGATCAAAAAGTCTGAATAACTAGCAACATATGAGGTAGTTTTGTAATTGTTGAAAAATCGTCACAAACACGTATTCACTGACATACGATTCTTTTTATTTCCAAAATTTTATTTTATTTAGTGATATTTAGGAAAATTGTAAACAGTAATTTGAAAGCGCCAAATTGTTAATTGGTGTATGTTTAGTAGGAAGTTAACAACTGTCAATAGCTTGTTTAATGAACCTGAAAGGAAATCTTCAAAATTTCGTGAGTAACACTTCAAATTCATTGCAATGTTTAACTAAAGTTTGATAAAATCTCAATACTGAACTCAGTTTTTGTTATTCTCTTTTAAATGCACTGATATTCTATAAAGAGTGTTCATATATATTTTATATTAAGTCATTAACCGGAAGAAATGTGGTCGATTCATCAATATTTTATTCACTATAAGGTTTTCGCTGTAAGTAGATGAACAAAATTTCCATTGTTACCAATCACTTGAAACGGGATATATTGTATCAGTGTTTCTTTACTGATAGCTTTTCATATCATAAATCAGTTTCTGCGCCATTTGAAGTTAACCAGTTACAATTCACTTAGGTGGTAGGTGGTTTTTAAATTGTCTAACTGCTTAAAAATATTTTCTCCGAATGTTATCATTAGATGAATAATTTTAACAAGATATTGGTTCTTTATTATTATTGAAATAAAATGATATCTTATAGACATCCATATCAGTTTCAGAAGTTAGTCACATGTTTAGTTCTATTTGACAATATCTGGAATAATTAATAACTTGTGCCATTGTTGACTAATCAGTCCCAAATAGACTACATAGTCAAAATTATTCATGAAAGGTACGTGATTTAACAGAGTAATTCATCTAACAATTTAAAGAATATGGAACTAAAGTGGATTACATTTTTTGCATGTTTGAATTCACTGACGTTGTTAATCTTAACTTGGACTACATGTTAGTAATTACACTCATCGTAATGATAACATGACGTGATTAGTAAACTGTTTTGAAACCAAACTAACTAACCTTACAACAAGAAACTATAAATAAATTTCAGGTCGATCTTAACCTGTTAATGTTTCGGCCAAGTATCCCTTATATGGAGCTCTGAATAAACTCCTAAATAGAAATGTTCTAAAATCGCTTATTTTAATAACTTACACATGAGGTTTTGAAGATAATTTTAATTTTCTTTAATCTTTTAATTTTTGTAAGTAACTCTTTTTTTTGTTAAGCATCTATTGAGTGTGAGGACATGTTGAAATCAAGATAATATGACAGCAGTGATGCAAAACCCACTGTTTTATTGAAAAGGAACTAAGATTTTTTTAGCAAAGATAGTTTTTTGAGTGATATCACTAATTGTAGTTTTGCATTCTTATTTATGGTGATTAACAGATACAACGACCTATCCAAAAAATACTCTTATAGTTTGAGCAAATATTCTCGAAACAACCGGATCAATGAAACTTGTCTTATACATTTCGTATTCAGCACTCAGGTAAAGTAAATCATTATGTTAATAATTCTCAACTCTATCATTTTATCGAATTTAATTGTCAGTCATTTCATGCATGCTTATGCAACTTGATGAAATGGAATAAATAAAACACTTATAACTGTGATATATAATAGCAATGTCTTTTATATTTGATCTTGGTCATGTGTTCAACTGTAAAATAAAACTACTTAATATCAAATATATAATATGTAGAATGTATAAAGTTTTGAACACGTATTTTTAAAAGGCAATAGTGTTTCTTTACAACTACATACTGAGGTGGTCCTAATGAGCAGGTTAGGTTTTGTGCGAGACATCGATGAGTAATCCATTTGCATTGTTAAAGTTATTAAAATGAAATTCCCTCGATATTAAATTAATTTACTTTATTAATCTTCTTGAACTACGATTTCTGACAAGATCATAACTTGAAGTATGTTTCTCTGATTATCATTTATGACGTGGAAATCGTGTTCTTGAAGTTCGGCCTGATTTTATTTAAAGTTAGCCATACACGTTTTCTAAATTTCGTGACGGTTTTGTGTATTGAGAGTGTTATGTCCCTGTGCTAAGCCAAAGATAAGTCAAAACAGTACTAGCAGCCTTCAATCAACTCCCGATCTTTATTGGACCCCAATGTAGTAACCATTCACCTAACTCAACCTGTTCAGTTCAAAACACAAATATCAGTCTCCACTATATGAATCGGATATTTCACACATACTTGGTTTATTTACAAGTAGACCAGACCTCATCACACAGTGAAATGAAAAATGATAATTATACAGGATCAAAACAGAAGTGGATGTGAGCATAGGAGACTTTAACTAAATAATTGGGAATGGTATAACAGCAGCTAATATGTCGAATGCAGGCTCATGATAAAGGGAATATAAATGTATATAATCTAGTTACTTAATGATTATCCAAAAAGAATATACGTAATAATGGTTCATAAATAATTCCTAGAAGTTACCATTCATTTATTCTTCGTTTGGATATAACAGAGAGAGCAAGTGATGAATTTTAAAAACTAAGTATTACATTATACTGCTGATTGTTTGTTTTATATAAGAAACATTTGTTCATTTGAATAGATGAATAAACAAACACATCACTTCTAGTGGACTATAAATGCGGCATTTTAATACTCAATAATAGGATGAGTGACATTTTATGCTTCATATCAATCGATTCTTTATGCTAACAAGTAAATAAAAGTAATTTTGACCTCGTTATTTTCAATAGTCAGTGAAATTGTTGTACTTATACGATACGTTTGTTTCCTCTTACTACCTTTTTACTGTTGATACAAAGTAAGTAACAGTCTTTTTTGAATTATGAATAAATACAGTAAAATTAGTCTATTTATCCAGTGGATTGGTATATTAGTTAATTGAAACTTCTTACATTTCTAAACAAATCCATGAAAATCATTATCTGTAACGTTTTTTCGTAAACATGTCCATATCAAATATCTCTAAACAAAATCCTCAAACTGTAAACTGACATATGAACGGAAAAAAATTGTAAGATTATCCGTTGGTATCACATATTTGCCTCAAATAAGCACATAAATATGATTCAGAATGAATAATGATGTTGCCATTTCTAAGGTAATCGCATTAACTTATCGTTTTTGTAAACTGTTAATATCATGAGTAGTAAATGATTGTACTCACTGAGAAACTAGTCTCTTATTATGTTCAAATATTAGTTTATTATTATGACTTTATTTCAAGTTATCTCGGATACTTTGTTGTAGCTGCCTGGTTGTTACATTTAGATTTTATGTTCACAGCTTATTGATGATAAATGATATATACGTTATTCCATTTGTTTCTTGTCCCATCGTTCTGAAAAAGAAACTTATCAAAAACTGGTGTTTGATTTGAGGTATACCAGATGTCCGTCACAGATTGATTCAAGAAACTTTTTGAATCTTAAACCTTAGAAATTAAGCTTTTGTGCTAGTACTCTAATTAATGCAAGAAATCTCCAATTAACTGTACTAGTGATTTACTTTCCAAACGTACATGTTTATTCGAGTCTATAAATGGAAAATGAAAGTGTCTCGTGACCAGTGGAATTCAACCATGTCGAGTATGAGACAGTTGTCCATCACAGGCTATTGATGACGGTTGCGCAATATCGTGAACCGATTCAAGTTAGACAGCCATACCGTTGGATGCTGGCCAAGCGTTTCCACGTGACACCAATTATCCTGGGTTCGATTCTCTAATGCGGGGTTGTGAACACGAACTGACGAGGAGCTTTATACTAGTGCCAAACGATAGCCCAGTGCTTCCAGGTCTTTGATGACTGTCTGGTTCGGATCAGTTTGTGATTTGAAATATATGAAAATTATCACAGAACTGCTGAAAAGTCCAAAAATATCCTTCATTTAAGTCTCTATAAGCCCAGAAAACGCCAGGAAATGTTTCAACTAACCGGCGCTGAACAGAAGCTTCCCAGAAGCATCTATAATGTGAGGGATCAAGTGTCACATCTTTCAGTGGATAATTACCTGTGCCAATATTATAGTTAGCATGTTTCTAGGAGGTCCTGAGGGTCAAAAGTCACATGCAAATCTGTACAATACTGTACCTAAATTAATCTTGAAGTAAAGCTTTTACTCACATTTCGTACCTTATCTCTATCGTTCCAGCTGATGTGCAAAAATAGTCGGGAGGTCATAAAAGTGATCAGAAAGACAGTACTAATGATTTTAATAGCAGATTTATCATAACTTCTATACTGAACCTAAATGTTTACAAATTTTTCTTCATATTTATCCAACAATAATAATTTATTCTGAAATAAATTACATGAGGTGTGCCAATTTACAGGTAAGATTAAACTGTAACACGTAACTTTATAAAGGTTACAGTGTGGAATATTCAGTCCATTTGATACGTTATAAAATACATATATTCCTGGTAAAAACCAGGAAACAAGTGTTAGTGCACAAGCTTAGGTGAGAATCAAAATCAGAGGATCATTATTAATACATCTAACACAATTCGGTGACTGATTGTGCAGTTGAAAATGCAGAAAATAGAACACTTCCTGGCCGTTGCTATACGATAATCTGTGTTGATTTAGAAATGATACAAGCAAGAAATACAGATTTTGCCGGTGCAAAATAATAAGAATTAATCCGCCATCTCCTTTTAGATAGGAATCCCAGTTGTCACAAATATGTATCACCTCATAGTGTGGGGGACGCTACTCACAATATTGTTTGCAAGTAGTATATAGCGGAAAGTGGCGTCGTAGGACCGACGGAAGAGTTTCAGTATGTTGAAAGCACAGCGTAAACAGAACAATAGAAGACCAAAAGAAAATACATTTCGTACTTTAGAATACACTGCAAGCTGCAAATGAATGGTCGAAGGCTGTGTATACGTATGATATAAACCCTTTGTAATTTCTCTTAATCAATAATTCTTCTACTCGTTGTCTTGTTCTATAAATGTTCTCATCGGTAATCTCCAGGTATCTTTTATGCCTGGCTTTCGTAGTAAGAACTTCTATCAGAAGGTTCAAATAAGTCGCTTGGTGGTTCAAGATGGGGACAGGTGCCCCATAGATGTATGTAATATTTTTCATTGTGATAACTCTGGAAAAAGAAGAAATGCAGAAAAACTGACAAGTAGTATGAGTTATCGACTATAAATGACCAATTAAGTGTAATCATTTGTGATGGAAGGAATAATGTATGTTAAAATAGTGGAAAAGAGCCCTGCTAAAAATATGAACCAATAAGACATGTATTAAACTTAAATTGAATTGTCTCCATTTGACCAATTGCCATTCAGTGGCTCATAGTTTTTCTTCGGTTATAATGCGTCACATTAAGTTATATCTGATTGGTACGTTGAAAAAAGATGACTAAAGCTAA